CTTAAAAGAATATTTCAAAGTGTTTTTCCTATTGTAATCCATGGTGTCCTGCAACGTTCATAAGTAAAGTTTGAATTCCATGAAACCTAATGCAATATGATGGTTTATGGATGCAATGCACAAACGCACACAAACAAACAAAAGTCCTAGGTTAGAGGAACATGAGTGGAGCCAAGGTCTACCCTCTCGAAAAGTATGTACTAAGGGTTAATTGTACCTGCAGAACAAGGTTTCTAAAGAGGTGCCCAAAGTCATCAGTCCATCCTTCGAATATTATCAATTTCCCGATTAACTCGATAGTTAATAATATTCTCAAGAGAACCTCTTTTGAATGTAGTATCACGTAGCAAATGTTTCGGGAATACTCCCTCATAGTCATCGCACTACGTCCTAGTTAAGGCTAAAGTTGGGTTAAGATAACTACGGTCCCCAATATCACAGGCTCCTAGGTCGAAAATAGTATGTGTTTTCACGAATACTCGTTCAACAATACTAATTTTCAAGAGGACCTCAACTGAGCGGTGATTCTCAAGTCAGCTTGGTCGGGAATCACTCCCTATAAGCCTCGTCGAATATATCACCTTCCTATAAAAATTGCACTCAAGTCCGAGTGTAGGACTTATCTCACAACAATGATCCCCCAATCAAGGTACAAAAATATATATATATATATATATATATATATATATATATATATATATATATATATATATATATATATATATATATATATATATATATATATATATTTATATTTATATGTATGTATACATACAAGCAAACAATATAGCAAAAAGCAAGCAATAAACAGGATAGGGGTAAACCTCAAAGCTATGATAGTAAATCCCCAGTGAAGTCGCTGTTTTCTGTTGCGGTGAGAATATGATATCAAATTATTAATTAATTTGAATCATATCTTTAGTTCACAACGGTCTTTGATTTATCCGAAGGAAAGGTTAAAGAAAGGAAAAAAAACCTATTTTGCATCGTAAACACAATGCGGGGAAAGATCTAGGGTTCGGGGGTTGGTTAAGCTTATGGAAGGTATTAGCATCCTAAACTTCTGTAGTACTCTACAAGAACTTCCTGTTTTGATGTGCTATTGCTAAAGATATCTGCTTAAGGTTAATGCTAAGGATTAAAGTAAAGAGAAGGACCTAAAGGGTTAGTCCTAAGTATACTCGCCAAGACTCGCATCTTGTGCCTACGTATCCGAGGTAGGGGATAGAATCAGAGTAATCGTAGTTCCCCTTACAGAGGGAGGAAAAGGAACTTCTTGATTGTGGTCAAGGTTCCAAGGGGATGTAAACGTTCATAGAGAAGCGCTTACTTGGAGTGAGGCGACTCTGATTTCTATGTTATAAAGTTGAATTGAAAGGGGAAGTAAGTATTCCACGGCGGGAACTTACATGGGTACGGCGACTCCTGATCCTAAGGCTAGGATAAAGGGTAAAATTTTCCACGGCGGGACGCCTAAGTATGAGTACGGCGACTCAAATTCTTAAGGTTAGGATGGAAGAGGGTAAAGGAATATTGACGCGGCGGTCAAACAGTTAAACCTTTCCTTCGGAGGGTAAAATAGTGAAATAATACACAGTGAGAATTGATACGCAATGAAGATGTTGAAACAAAATACACGTGATAGGAATGAGTGGTGAATAGCAATAATAATGTCAAATACAAGTAAAATTATAAATAAAAAAATATAAAGAAACGGTTAGCAACAGGTTCATGGATAATCGAGAATGATGTTAGGAATGAAGGATGAAAATTAGACAAAAATTAGCATTACTCGAGATATGGTTTTGTGAGATTTTTGAGAAAAAAAGTTTGAATTTTATGCCATTAATTAAAAAAAATTAAAATAAAAAAGTTAGAATTTTAAAAAATGTTAGAAATTTTGATAGAAAAAAGTTAGAATTTTAAAATAATAAAACAAGTTAAAATTTTAAAATAAAAGGTTGTTAGAAATTTAATTTACAAAAGAGTTTAAAAAAAAGATTTAATTTTAAAAAGAGTTAGATTTAATTTTAAAAAGTTAGATTTAATTTAAAAAAGTTAGAGTTAATTTTAAAAAAGTTAAAAAAAGATTTAATTTTAAAAAGAGTTAAAAAAAAAGATTTTATTTTAAAAAAGTTTAAAAGAAAAGATTTAATTTTAAAAAGGAGTTAGTTTTTCATTTTAAAAAAGGTTAATTTAATTATTAAAAAAAAGTTAGTGTTTATTACAAAAGAAAGGGTTAGTAATTAGTTTTAAAACAAAAATAAATTCAACTTTAAGAAAAAGGGCTAGTGTTAAGTTAGAATTAAAAAAAAAATTAATTTTAGTTAAAATAACAAAACAAATAATAAAAATAAAAAGAGGAAACGGGTCGGGCCTGTGTTTGACGGTTTGTGCGATGGTTTCCGCTGTGATTTTTCTTGTGGTGTTCGTAAGGCCTTTTGTTTGGTTTTGGCGATGATGAGTGAATCCTTTACTCTGAGCCTCCGTGGGTTTCAGCTCCGTAGATGAGGGTTTTCGTATGAATGGTTTTTGTAATTTTTTTGATGCCTTTGATGTTGATGATTTCGTTTAGGGTTTTTCCGTCCCTTTTTACTGTGATTTTTGGCCATTTTATACTTGATTTTTAAATCTTAAAACCTAATGGAGATTTGATTTTTTTTTATTTGAAAAGATTTGATTTGATCCTTTTTCAAAACGTTTTTGATGGATTTGGATCTGATTCTTATACTCATATTTTTTCTTTAAAAACAATTTTGATTTGATTTTTGTATTGGATTTGATCTGAAAAGATTTTCGTTTTTGGATATTGATTTGATTTTACTTAATCTCATTTTCGGATCTGTTGTGATTCATGATGATTTGATTTGATTTTGGATATCCTGTGGATTTGATGATGGATTTGTGAGGGTTTTTCTTGGTGACGGTTTTGATGGCTTTGCTGATAGGGCGATGATGAGGGTTTTCCTGAGGCTAGAAGTTTTGATTAAAAAAAGTGTTGGGATTTTTGATTAAAAGAGTGTTGAAAATTTTAAAATAACAAAGAAAGTGTTTTAAAATAAAAAAGTTAGAATTTTTGCATTAAAAAAGTGTTAGAGTTTTTAGATAAATAGTTAGAGTTTCTAAATGAAAAAGGAGTTAGAAATTTAATTTAAAAAAAGGTATTAGAATTTGATTTAAAAAAAAGTGTTAGAAATTAATTAAAAACAATTATACTTTAATTTTTAAAAAAAATACTCTTGAAGAAAAGAAAAAAAAGTTAAATTTTAATTTAAATTCTAAAAGTTAGTAAAAAAGAAATTAAAATAATTAAAATAAATAAACTAAATAGAAAAAAAAGGTTAATAAAAAAACATTAATAAAGTTATAAAAAAAAAGTTTAATTAAATTATTATTAGTTAAAAAAAAGAAAAGATTTTTAAAAAAAGATTAATTTCTTAAGTTAATCAGAATTTAAAAAATAATAAAATAGAAAATGAAAGGGTAAAATTTGGATAATGACAAATAGGAATAAGAACATTTGCAGGTGCAACAATCTGGTCTTCCTCTCAATTTGACTACTGTTGAATTGTCCTTCCATCATAGTATCGTCGATAAATGTGCCATTCGCGTCCTCTAAAGCGAGTCACTAAAAAATAATCAAGAACAAATCAGAAAACTATTGATGAAGATTTCCGGTGAAGACTTCAAAGAACCGGATAACATCGCACTAAGTTATCCGGTGTGGAAATCATGTTAACCAAATAACATGGTACAAAGTTATCTGGTGTTAAAATATTGTAAACTAGATAACATGACACCAAGTTATCCGGTGAAGAAATATATAAACCAGATAACACAATGAGAAGTTATCCAGTGGAAAATAATAAATAAAAAAGACCGAAAAACTCACTTGTTAATATCCACCGTAAAAAGTTGCAAACCATAAGTCTTTTGCTTGAGTTTTCCGAGAGTAAAATTTGTTTTCAAACTTTTAACTGTTGTTTGGGAAAACAAATTAAAATTATTAATATTCATAGAAAAATAAAAATAAGTGTAGGGATATGAAATAAAATTTTCTATAATCTGCGTGTGAATTTTTTCGATGAAAAGTCTATAAAATATGTATTTTGAGTTACTTGTTTAGACTCGTACCATTCTAGTATGTGATGATTGTTTGATTTATTTTATAAAATTATTTTTTAGTTTTTAAAATTTGAAATTGATAAAACTTAATTTAATTATTTAATTTTACAAAATTATTTTTAAAAATATATTCTATTTCAAATTTTGAGAGCTAAAAAAGTTAGAATAAATTTTAAATGTTTTATTTTTCACTTTTTAAAATTGGTAAGAGAAAAACAACCATGAATACTCCAATATTCATTAGTAGTAGATTCATAATTAGTGAATTTTTAAAATGTAAAAAAAAAAAAGAAGCACATGAATCGTGTTATTTTAAGAATGCAAATACTTTAAAATTATATGATTTTTATTTTATTTTTTATGTTTCATTAGTCTCATACATTTATTCAATTTGATAAAGAAAAAATGATATCCTCGGAATTCTATTTTTTTTTTCTTTTTAATCGGTTAGTTTTTTTATGCATTATTCAACTTTAAAAACTAGAGTAAAAATATTTAATTTTAAATTAAAAATAATAAAAAATTGTTATTTAAATAAAATAATAGTACAATTTTCGTCGCTATAAAAAATACACATCAAAATAATTTCTTTTCCAACAAAATTAAAAGAAAAGAATAGTAAAAACATTCAACGAGTAAATTTATATAAGTTACTTGTTAAAACTTGTATTTGTAAATCATTTTCAAAATAGTGAATAATTACATATACCTAATATATTCCTAATATAATTAAATCCATGCTTATTTGATAAATTAATTTTAAAAACTAAAAAACAAAACTCATTATTATCTGTTCCTAGTTCTTAAGACTTTATCAAAAGAGTCTCAAAGTTTTGAATTGAACCAAACCCTTTTCTCTTCTCTTCTCTCTCAAAATGCTTCCTAACACCATCTTCAATTCCCACCCTCACATACCAAAACTCCCCATTCATTTTCCATTCCATTTTTCTCACAATTTCAAACTCTGCGCCACCACTTCACATTCCGAATCTGATTCCGACTCTTTCACTGTCTCCTACCTCATCAACACCGTCGGTCTCACTCCCCAGAAAAACCCAATTCAGTTTTCACCTTCTTCAGAAACCACGGTTTTCCAGACTCCAGCATTAAGAAAATCATCATAAAAGAACCATGGCTTCTTTCTACAAATACCCACAAGTCAATTCTTCCAAAGTTTGAGTTTTTCCTCTCCAAAGGCGCTTCACTCTCTGAAATTGTTACCTTGTTAACGGTGAGCCCTAGAATTTTACAAAGTAGTTTGGAAAATCGAATTATCCCTCTTTTTGAATTTTACAAGAGGTTTTTGAAATCTGATAAAGCTACAGTTTGTTGTATGATTCGAAACTCGATTCCATTGTCTTACAATCTTACTACGGATAACGTTAAGTTGATGGTCCATTACGGAGTTTGCGGTTCCAGCATTGCTAGAATGTTTCTCACAAAAGCATCTCTACTTGGAACAATTGATTTGATTAATACCTTGGAGGAAGTTAAGGGTTTAGGGTTTGACCCTTCAACTTCCACTTTTGGGATAGCTTTGATTGCAAAGAAATGTATGAATAAAGCACGTTGGGATGAGAAAGTTGATGTCGTTAAGAAATGGGGTTGGTCTGATGAAGCTGTTGTTCAAGCATTTAGGAAGCATCCTAGTTTGATGTTGGCTTCAGTCGATAAGATTAATTTGGTGATGAGTTTTTGGGTCGATCGAATGGGTTGGGATTCCTTGGCACTTACTAAATTGCCACAAATTTTCGGTTTTTGTTTGCAGAAAAGGGTGATTCCAAGGGCATTAGTTCTGCAATATCTTATGATGAAAGGATTGAGGAGAAGGAATGCAAGCTTAGTGACACCATTTAGGTGGTCTGAGAAACAGTTCCTGAGCAAATATGTTGTCTGTTTTAAGGATGAGTCTGATTATTTATTGAAACTCTATGAGGAAAACACGAATCTTGCGAACACCAAGGAGAACATTGACATGCCATTCACCAAATAGGTGAGTTCATAATCATTCTTGTTTTGCAATGCAACATTATCTTGTTAGTTCTTGAAAGTGACCTAGAAAGCCATCATCAAAATATTGAACCAATTGCTGGTTATATGCCCAATATGTGATTTGAAGGCTTGTAATTCTGCAAATTATGTGAGAGCCAACTGATCCCAAATGCCGTTCCTCAATTTTATCACCGCCTCCACTTTATTGGTGTATCTCTTGTTAAATTAACATACAACTTTTTTTCTACTTTAAAAATTCTTACCTTAGAAATGACCATGTTAGATTAGAATGAGAAAGGTGAAATGATGCTTCATCTATCCAGTACATTTGGAGTTTTTCCACAATATCTATTTGATCCTATTGAGTATTATGAACTTGTGGTTAATTTGAATTCTTTTTTCAAGAAGAGCAGAAGGGTGCTTAAATTTGTGGATCAGGACCAATCAAAAGGGTATGAAGAAGAAAATTAAATATTATATTTTAATTTGTTTTTTAGTAGTTCTATTTAGTTTTAATATGTGATTGTAATAGTGTTACAAAATGAAGACAATGATGGTATAACTTGAAGTGTAACTCAACATGTGATTAAATTATGCATAACTAATTTAGAGTAGTTAGTTATTATAGTTAGAGTTAATTAGGATTGTTCTATAAGTAACTTTTAGCATGCATTATTTCTTGTTCTATAAGTTACTTTGTATCTTATTCTTCACACTTCAATGAAGCAAATAATCTCTTTTCTCCAAATCATAATATGGTATACGTATCTTTTCTAGCTTCATTCTTTTCCAAATCCCGCTGAATCCTTTTCTTTTAGCATTGTTCTTCAGTTTTTTGCTTCATTCATTAAGATATTATTCTTGATTTCATCGTTTTCTCTCATTCTTTTGCTCATCGATCCACCATTTCCACATGCCTCCACTTGTTACTTTGATTGATCAGCAAGCTGACACTGAATCAATCTAATATGCTCACTCTAATGAAGGACCAAATTCAGTTTCCATCACACTAAAGTTGAACGACTCGAATTATCTTGCATTGAGCAAATCCATGCAATGTGCGTTAGGAGCAACGATCAAGTTTCGGTTTGTTGATGGATCTGTAGAAATTTCTCCTCACCATGATCTTAATCGTCTCCAATGGAAAAGATACAGTTATGTCTTCTAGTCTTGGTTGGCAAATTCTGTTTATGAACAAATTACTTATACTATTATTTTTCATGTATGGATTGATTTGAAAGAACGATTTTCTAAAGCTAATTGTATTCATATATTTTCACTTAAATCTTCCATCAACACTTTGAAACAAGATTCTAAAATTGTCATGGACTATTTCATTGAATTGAAAGAATTGTGAGAAGAGATCAATGAACATCGCCCACTAGTTGTTTGTACTTGTGTTCATCAATGTAGATGTTCAGCCATGCAAAACGTTCGTGATTATAGGCATGAAGATCAAGTGATGCAATTTTTGACATGTCTCAATGATCAGTTCTCAGTTGTTAGAACTCAAGTGTTGTTGATGGATCCTTGGTCACCTATTAACAAGGTGTATTCATTGGTTGTTCAGGAGGAAAGTAATCAGATATTTGTTGCTTAATGCTGCTCATCAAAATGATTCAAAATGGAAATCTCATAATTTCAAGAATGTACTAAGGCATTGTTCTTTCTGTAACAGAAATGGTCACACAGTAGATTTTTGCTATCAAAAGCATGACCATCCCAATTTTAACAAGAACAAGCCTCTTGTTAATGCATATACTAGCCAAGCTTCTGATTCCTCTCATCCACATGGTGCTACTCAGGATGCTTCTTCTACAAGCAACAATGCAACCATCTCTCAAGAAAAGTATGATCAACTGGTCACCTTACTCCAAGTAAATTTATTTCTCTTAGCATCTTCAACACACCCTTTACCACAAATCATATTTCAGTTACTTCTATGACTCATGATCCCTCATTGTTTGAGTCTGCATCATGTATTATATGTACTGCTTTTAGTCCTATACATCATGATAATCCCTTTTGGATCATTGATTAAGGTGCTAATGACCATGTATGTTCATCACTTAAAATTTTCACATTAACTCATAACATTAAACCTGTTAACATTACACTGCTAAATAGAAATTCAATTTGTGTCAAACAAGCTGGTCACATATATTTTTCACCAAATTTCTATCTACACAATGTTTTGTACTCTACAGAATTCCATTTGAATTTGATTTCCATTTCTAAACTTTGTCAATCCCCAAATGTTTCATTGAACTTTCTATTAATACACGTGTCGTATAAAATTTAATCACCAAAAGGATGATTGGTTTGGGTAAACAAATTGGAGGTCTCTATAGGCTGCAAATTGATGCTTGTCCTCTTCTTGATGATGTCAAACATTTCTCTTCAACTTTACCTCCTACCAACATCAATACTATTCAACCTAGCAATGCCTTGTGGCACTTTAGACTTGACCATGTATCAAATAATAGTCTTAAACATTTCACTATGATGTATCCATCTATTACTTTTGACAATAAAGCCACATGTGATATTTGTTATCTAGCCAGACAAAGGAAACTTCACTTTCCTCTTAGTTCTTCTATTGCTAGTTCTAAATTTGAAATGTTGCAGCTTGACATATGGGGCCCTATATTTGTAACTTAAATCCATATATATATATAACAATTCTTTATGATCACGCAAGATTTGTATGGTCTGTTCTTTTGAAAACCAAAGTTGAAGTGTCTTTAAAAGTGCAAAGCTTTGTCACTATGATAGATAACCAGTACAGAGTTACACCTAAAGTCCTTAAAACCAATAATGGACCTGAGTTTTAGCTTCCAACCTTCTATGAATCCAAAGGCGTCATTCATCACAAGTCTTGTGATGAAACCCCTCAGCAGAATGGGAGGGTAGAGAGGAAACACCAGCATTTGATTAATGTTGGAAGGAATTTGCTTTACCAAGCCAAACTACCCAAATCCTTTTGGTCTTATGCAGTTTTATATGCTACTTTTATCGTAAATAAGGTACCTATTGCTATACTACAACACCATTCTGCTTATAAAAAATTACATGCCAAAATTCCTGATATCAACTCCTTCGAAGTGTTTGGATCTTTATGTTATGCTTCTAGTCTAAGTGTCCATAGATCTAAACTTGACCCTAAAGCTAGGAAGACCATATTTCTTGGTTATACCACTGGTATGAAGGGATACACTCTTCTTGACCTTAATAACAAGTAAATTTTTACATCAAGAAATGTGTCTTTCCATGAACACATTTTGCCTTATACCATTCACACACCTTCTTCACCTCACTCTTGGACATATTTAAGTTCTTCCCATGAAAATATTGAACCTCATCAACACAACAATTCCGATCCCTTTCCTCAATCACCTACACCCTCTGACACAACCATAAATCCAACCACATATGACATACCTATCACAACATCTATTCCATATATCATGCCCACACCAAACCAAGGCATACTTGCCAACATTGGTCCCAACATTGTTCCAACTCGTACATCATTAAGAGCCACACACAAGCCATCATATTTGCAACATTATGTATGACCCATATATGAAGAACCAAACCAATCATCCAAAGGTATACTTTATCCTGTTTCCAATTCTATGACTTACTCTAATCTGTCAACACCTCAATGTCATTATTCTTGGTCTTTAACATCTCATACTGAACCCAAAACATATGCCAAGGCTTGTAAATTTGAATGCTTGAATCAAGCCATGCAAGTTTAGCTTAATGCTCTTGAAAAGATAGGTACATGGTTACTTGTTGATTTACCTTCAAATATCAAACCTATTGGATGCAGGTGGGTATATAAGATTAAACACATTGTTGATGGAACCATTGAGATTCAAAGCTCGATTGTTTTCCAAAGGATACAACCCAATTGAAGAATTAGATTACTTTGAGACATATTCTCTTGTTGCCAAACTTACATCTATCAGAACAGTTGTGGCCATTGCTTCCATCAACAATTGGCATATTCACCAACTTGATGTGAATAATACATTTTTAGATGGAAAACTTCATGAAGATGTGTACATGATAACTCCACCCGGTATTATGCATACCAAGCCCAATCAAGTATGCAAATTTGTTAAATCTTTGTATGGCTTAAAACAAGCAAGTAGGAAGTGGCATGAAATATTAACATTATTCCTTATCAAGAACAAGTACAAACAAGCAACTACAGATGCTTCCTTATTCACGAAACAAAATCAATCGAGTTTTACCATAATGCTTGTTTATGTTAATAATGTCATAATAACATAAAACTCTATGGAAGAAATGAAGTATATCAAGGAAGCATTGCACAAAGAAATCAAAATCAAGGATTTGGGCCAATTGAAGTATTTTCTAGGAATTGAGGTAAGCTCATTCCAAACATGGTATATCCACGTGTCAAAGAAAATATTGTCTAGATCTTTTACAAGATTCAGAAATGTTGTGTTCCAAGTGTCATACCCTAAATTTGTCCTACCCTCTCATCCAAATCTTTTGGCTTATGCATCTCATATTCCTTCATGTACATGTCATCCATTAGGTCATCTAACATATCATGCATTCATTAACATCAAAGCTTGTTACTTGGATTAGAGATCATAAGAATTAAGGTTTCACATGACAATTAGGGTTTCACCTCTTTTGCAGGTTCGTTTCGACTGAAGATGCAAAAGTAATGAATTAGGGTTTTTGTCCCTTATACTCAAGATCATCAAATGAATCTTCCAAAGTTATACATCATCCAAAGCTCCTCGTCTCAACATTCCTTTCATGCTTCAACACGCAAAATGGCTTCAAGGTTGCTTGCAACACGAGCTATCCTACAAGGTCATCCAGGAGGCCATGGGTTAGGATATGAAGGCTCTACATGTATCATCTTCTTGTACTCATCATCATTACTTGGTTAGGGTCTATTTCCATAGTCAGGTGCCATTTAAAGGATCTCACCGCTTGAGAAGGAAGTTA